ACTTATACTCCTGAATTATTTGTTTCCTTAATGTTTAACACAAGCATCACTTATACATTGACCTAACTATTCAGAACATTCACACATGACATTCGTAATGCTAAGTGGAATGGTGCAAATATGAAAATATCTTATTGGCTTGGCCACTTTTCTCAATATGGCACCACAACATGGAAGAACTTTTTTTTCTATCTTTAAAAAAAAATGTTCTTTGCTCCTCTATGCCAATGCCACTGGATACATAGGCTGTAGTAATTTTGTAGAAGGAACGTTTTGTAGGTGACAGCTCGCTAGTCAGCACTCATCTTAGACACCTGGATAACTTCTATAGAAAGCTGCAGGCCTGAGCTGTGGTTCCACTGTCCTGGCTGTGTTGTCTGCCTTACAGAGCCAATTGACATAAATTACTTGGCTGGTAAAAAGATCTCATAATATATGATTATATATTTTTACTTGGCCGATGCTAACAGCATGGATAAATACCCCCACTGGGCCATTGTATTCTGACAGTCACTGCCCAGAATGCCTGGTCAGTGAATGCATCTAATTGGATGCAGCTGCTGTTTGCCCAACTATTTTCTGCCTAGCTGCTTTGATTCAAAAATGTTGGGCAGGAGGGTGCCAATTGGGCCACTGTCTAAGCAAACTTATGCAGGTTCTTTAGCAACCAGCCAAAGTTTGAAGAGTGTACGGCCAGCTTTATTTTGTTCTCTAAGAAAAAGGCATTATCACTTTCCCAGGGCACCATTAAGCCTAAATACAGTCCTGCTTACTAGCAAAAGTAAGAAAACTAGTTTAAAGTAAAGCTTCTGTAGCGCAATCCATGTAGGGGGCGCTTCATAATGATTGTCCCCAGTGGTTGCCATGACCTTGCAATACTTCCGACACCTCTGACATTCTGGGTTCAGACATATTTCAACAGTATAGGATAATAATGCAAGAGACAATTCTTTAGTAACACCTCTATATTAGACTTGTTCAAAAGAGTAGGCTACATGAACTATGGGCTTAGGGTATACAACCCCAGTTTAAAATGTTATACATTCATGAGTAGTAAGCTTCAACAATTCACTTGCAACACCAGCAGCAAGAGGGAAAAGAAAGGGCTTGTTGACTTAACAGCTTCCTCTGTGTTGCTGGTGCCACAATGAGGCATGCAGAGAATTATTTCAATGTATGCTCTGGCACAGATAGATATAAGTAAGTACCATACTTTGAAAAACAATGGCCTTAGAAGAGAAAAGGTCCCTTTAACTAGAGACTGAGTCCTGCGATGTTTAAAGTTCCTGATATGGTGGTATCCACTGTCTTCTGCTAGCAATGGTGGGGCCCATAAGAATTAGTGAATACTGGTAATTCAATGAAGTTAACAGATAAGCCATGATACTGCTCAAAGCAAAGGTCTCCTGCTAACTAAGATGTAGAGGTGTCTGCATGCAGTGTCTCTAGAGTGATGATAGAAAGAGTTTGGGCATCCACTCACCAATCTTATGATAGCATGGACACCTAGGAACAAGAGTTCTTGCCCAGGCTGTTGGCTGTTTTCAGGGATTCGCATAGTTACCATCTGATGGCCTGTCAACACAGCCAGCAGAGATGCTTGTGTAAAGACAGTGACAGTCCCGATGCAGAGAAGCTGATGTAATCCCATTGTGTGGTGGTCGGTGTCTCCACCATACTGAACTGATTGTAACGATTATGCGCAATAGAGACTTGGAAGTTGTACGCGACAGCTATCTTGTTAAGGTCTCAGCCATTTTGTTTTTCATGAACAATCATCTTTCTCCCCTGCTCAAATGGAATATGTAGCTATAAGTTGTAACAGACTTCGAAAGAGCCTCTTATCTTAAATAAAACACAAATAGAGGCCAGCTCCAGAGCTGTAAACTGCTAATTAGTCTTGGCAGGGTGTCTATTTTTGCAAAGACACTTTCCTCTGTCCTATCATAAAACAATAACGCAGTCAGCTGTCACACATGACCTGTTAGGCCATTAGAGCTTAGGAATTCAGAGTGTGCCATAAAATGTCTATTGCACATGTAACCATTTCACATACAGTTCATAAAATCCAACATGAACTGGGCTCATTAATATTAGGTATACATTTGGATAGATCATTTCATGCCGAGCCAAACAAGGTCCTACATGACTATGTTAGAACATAGGAAAGGTAAAAAAGCAGTCTCTTCCCTCCTGGGTGACAAAGGTACGCTGTTTGGTATTCCTGGGTTTGAAATATAATTCTGAATATTAATCTGCCAGTTGCTAGAATACCACCTGCATATACTGGAAGTTATTAATATTAGTATGAAATTGTAGTTGGGACTTGGCCATAAACTTGGTGACCTCCTAGAACCTATCCCCTAAGCAGGTGATTGGTCAGTTGTTCTCAGGCGACACCTCTTTAGTATCATAGAAAAGGACTGACAGGCCTGGTGAAGGGAGCTCTCATTTAACATCAATCAATAAACATCTTAACGGACTTGAGAGCCAAAGAAACATTTTTTGCTCGGATAATTGAATTCTGCTAAACCAGGACTTTGCAAGTATTCTGCCTTCTTAACTCCCTTTTATTTCTCTGTTGCATTATTGTTCTTTGTCTTTGTAACATCTTTTTATGTCAATATTTTAATTGCACCATTTTGACCTTTTTAGTAATAAACCCTATTTTGAAAAGTGTTGAAACTGTCTCTAAAGCTTTTAATGCAAACTAAAGAATCCCTGTCTCTTGAAGAGTGCTACTGTATGTAATAATCCTCTGTATATCCCTGTCTGTGCTGACAGTGTGTTTTGCAGACGCTTATGCTAATATTATAGTGTTATTGTTAGGATTTGTGAGTTTCCTCCTTCTCTGTAAAAAGGTGGTGGTAGCAGTGTGAAGGGTTAATTGCGTAATTAACCTAACCCAGCAACAATCACTCTCAGCCTGCTGACACATAGATTGTGGTCCCGTGAGCTGGAAAATCTTTGTGCAGGGTGCAGCTGAGAGTGGCATTGTTACACAAGTGACAGCTTGGTGTGAGATTGGCTGGTCCTTTGCCACGAGTTGGTGAGTAGGGCAGGGGTCGGGCACCGCATTTCATCACACTTATGTGAAGAGTCCCGCAGCAGTAGGCCAACAATCTGTCTCTGGAGGAGAACGCAAGTCCCCTTGTGTTGAGTTCTGAATCCCGCACAAGAGAGATAGACAGTTTCTTGCTGTAGAGTATATCTGCTCTCCCTGCATCCTTCTGGTTCACAAGCTCTCTGGTAGATGTAGTTCAATCAGAACTCAGAAATACAGTATGTACTGTATTGGCTATAGGACTACAGGTCCCAAGATCCTTTGCTGTCTGAAGAGCTGGATCCACTCTGCTAAAAGGAAGTGATGTAGCAGTCCCAGTACTGGGCAATAGGGGGGAAAAGGATTAATCATAGTCTCATCTGTAAATGTCCCTGAAAGGCATAATGATAAAGCCAGCATCTGGCTACACTTGTAATCCCACAGCAGTAGGCCAGCAATCTGTCTCTGGAGGAGAACGACAGTCCCCTTGTGTTCAGTTCTGAATCCCACAACAAGAGAGAGAGAGACAGTTTCTTGCTGTAGAATATATCTGCTTTCCTAGCATCCTTCTAGTTCACCAGCCCTCTGGTAGTTGTAGTTCAATCAGCACTCAGAAATACAGTATGTACTGTATTGGCTATAGGACTACAAGTCCCAAGATCCTTTGCTGTCTGAAGAGCTAGATGCACTCTGCTAAGAGGAAGTGATGTATACGTCCCAGTAGTGGGCACTAGAGGGAAAAGGAGTAATCATAGTCTCATCTGTAAATGTCCCCGAAAAGCATAATGATAAAGCTGGCACCTGGCTACACTTGTAAATGTGCAAGTGTTAAGCTTGCCATACCTCTAACAATATGATGACTGATATAATAATTTAGATTTAAAAAAAAAGCATATATTCCCGAAATTGTACAGTAGGTGATGTGATAAATACATAATTTTATTTGTGGACAGTTTGACTGACCCCATTGATCTGTTTTTTTAAGCAAATATCTTTTCAGACAATCAAATCTTTGTTTATTGTTTCATTTATTAGCATACAACATGTATGTAAAACATGTTACTATCTGATTGCACATTTTGTGGTCACTCTGCAAGGACCTACCTAAGCAATCTATTCAGTTTGTATCCAAAGTTATTCATTAATGTAAAAAATATATTTCAATAAATCTGTAATGTGCGGGGGTCAGCTCTGCAATCAATTTAGGTCTAACAAAAATGTGCCAACTTATCCACATTTTATTTCTAAATTAATTCTTATTAGAGCCAGAAGTCTTTCAATTGCTGTACAGTTCTATTTAAACACAATCACATCACATTGTAACTTGTGTGGCTAGTTCCCATGGATTTCATCTACTAATGTCAGACCTTGAAAATCCAAACCTAAACCTTTTCCAAATTAATTGAAAGAAGAAATGTGGAATTAAAAAAACCCCCAAACATCTACACTCACCTCCCTACTGCAGCATCTGTCCGATGCTGCAGCTTTCCCCATCGGCTCTAAGCCCAAGAACTGAGCAATCACATTACCTCCAATCACTCAGTTCTTGGTCTGCTCTGCGCAGAGAATAATAACTGTTAGTCCTCACTCTCTGCTATTCCCTTCCAATGCTCACTGGAGTGCCAAGCTGGGGAGGGGGTGGCAGCAATGGGCTTGAGCTTTCAGTATCATGCTGAGAGGCTGAGCCAGCTGCTGATCAGGCATCTGGGTGGATCCCTACATTATTGCCGGATCTTTCTGGAGCCTGGACCAGCTCTTTTATGTCAGCTGACAGTGGACTTTATTCTGCTGTTGGCTGATTCTTGGTCACAGGAGTGCAAAAGTAAATGCCCAGAAAAGTAGCATGGCCAAAAAGCTTTGCCCATACTTTTCTTTTAAAACTGAAGTTTAATCTCCTTTGATTTTGCCTTCCCTGGCTCCTCCCCTACCCCACCCCCACTCCCAATCAACATACTAAGTAGCCTCCCTGACGGTATTCCCGAGTGTAGCTCGGGGTAAAGTTTCAGTACCACAAGCAGTAACCCTGAGCTACACTCGGGCTTAAAATGCGGCGCTGCTCCGGGATCTGTTCTTCTCTTACCTTGTCCTGCGCTCCAACGATGTCCCTCCTGCAGTGTCCCATGTAATGTCCTCCGGTGGATGCCGGCATCTGTCTTCTGGGTTCCATCCCCTGCGACGTTGGGACGTAACGGCGGGAAATTTGAAAATGACAAAAAGTGTATCAAACCATTTCACATACATTTTGTCCCGAGTGCTTTGTCCGGCGCCCTGCCTGCATTTTTACTGTTTTTTCTGCCTGGAAACTGAGAAACGTCCATGGCGTCCAAAAAGCGTCCCTTTAGGTCAAAATTGGTTTTAGACCAGCTAGAGAACAGCGATAGTAAATTAGAACTACTTGCAGAATTGATTGATAATGATTTGTGGGGAAATTCGTCATCAGACACTGAAAACGATTTTGCGACTTTGCTCAGTGATGTGCGAATTCGGTGCTATATTTCAAATTTCAGTGTTTTTGGTTTGATTATATTATTGAATTACATGATTTTTATTAAATTATAATTTATGTTTCGTTTTCAAATTTTAACATACCCGGGATGTTTACTAGACTCTTGTTCGGAAAGATTTCAGTGAGTTATTCCTAAAAATTACAGGCCTACAATAAAAAAAACTACATATTTCCATGCAAAAAAATGTACCGCTTTGAGCATAGAAATATGGAAATAATCAGACCGCTAGGCAGGTTAAATGTTCAAGTAAAACCTTTCCATTTTCATTTAACAACTTATTTTGGACCCAGTGATGTATACATTGAGTCTTTGTGTTTCTCTATGCAATGCTAGCAGATCAAGGCTGCTTGGAGAGGCAGGCGGGGTGATGTGCATAGCTGAGGTAAATTATGTAGCAGATTATTATTATTATTATTATACAGTATTTATAAAGTGCCAATAGTTCGCTCAGCGCTGATGAAAATATCACAGCACCCTGCCTCATTAATCATCTCAAGTACCATAGGTCATTGTGTATGCAATGCTTGGAGGGGAGTTATCTACATGGCAAGTATCAAAATGTCTACATGGGCAAGTGTCAGTCTGGAACAGTTCATATATGTGAACTAGCTCCATTAATACAATGGCAAATCTCTGCACATGCTTTAGAACACACTAGTTTAAAACATAGGTGTAAATAGTTTTCCAGAAAATACAAATTAGTTTATATCCATAGATCTGTTAAGCAGATGTAGTGTTAACACATGGAAGTCAGTTAATACATCCAGACCATACTGAAGAAAGCTTTAGCTAATCTTTCCTCATAAAATTGGATTGTTTAAAATGTTTATAATATTTTTCTATTTTCCATTTCTAAGCTTTTTACATGCTATATGCATAAAAGGAGAAATGCACACCCCTCATTCTATGCCAAACGATTCACACTGTTCAAAAATATTATTGCATGGCTCCACAATTCATTCAAATGTTTTTTTAGATGTTATTATTACTGATTCAATGTTACCGCTCCAAGCTGTTGCACTTTGTTAAGGTTGTCAGTATATGTGAAGCATTAAACCTTTATGTTCTAACCTTCACAAGAAAACTGCAATACCTCCAGGATATTCATTTCTCTGTACAATATTATAAACAAGACAGTCTGTTAGGTATGTAAATCCTGACTATATAAAGATAAAGTAGACCTTGAAAAATATGCTGACATGAATTGCATCATGGAAACATTCAGATTGTCAGTATACCAGCAGCTGCCCCCTTGCAGCAGCACCAGTCAAGTAAAAGGAGAAGTAAAAATGTGACCTGTTCTGTTCCCATTAGGAACCTGCTGGTGAAAAGTAGATGGAAACACTGTGTAATCACATTCAGTGCCTCATGACACATAGTAAACATTTTCATACCTACAACATTCTGAGATGGGAAAGAGGGACTTCTTTTAGAACAAAATATGATGGTAAAGGATACATCTCTAACATGGTCTCAGTGTTGCAGACCGTAAAGTAGTCCTGCACAAAGAAATGACTGCTTAAATGCAAAATAACAAATAGAAGAGAGATAGTTAGCAGCAGGGGCGGACTGACCATTTGGAAAGTCGGGCACTGCCCGAGGGCCCGGGGTCAGTAGGGGGCCCCATGAGATGCCCCTGGTACCTTTTTCATAGGCTTTTTTGAGTTTGGGCAAGGACACAGGGGCCCCATGATCCCCTATTACCCGGGGGCCCCATGAGTTGTCAGTCCGCCCCTGGTTAGCAGTAATGTATTTCAGTTTGGTTCTGTCTACCAGATAATCTCTTTTAGGCCATAAAGCAGTGACTATGGGTAGCCACCAACAAGAATCAGTAGATTCTTGCTAGCAGTTGTAAATGCTGGTTGCATACACTGCATTCAAACAACAGCAGCTGTCAGCGATGGCTGTCAGATTTGTAGTTGGTTCCTCTTCTGTTCCAATGTAATCACTCATGCGAGCGAATACATGTGAATGGATCCTCCAATAGGCCCTGGATGCAGACAATGCACACAAAGGCTAATCTATTAAAGCTGGAGCAGCCAGAATCTGGAGCAATTTTCCATGGCAACCAGTCAGCATTCATCTTGACTTTTCAAAGCTTAAAGTGGTTGTAAACCTTTACATATACCCATTGAAGTGACTAGATGATCCACAAAGATTGAACAAATCCTACTATTTAAGTTGAACCTGTTTATCTGTAGTCTCCTCTTCTCTATATCAGTTCAAAATCCAGAATTTATCAAGCTTGTCTGGGAGTTAAGAAAAAAGGGGACGGGGAGATGAAAGTACACTCTGCAGTACTTGGTGAGGAGAGCTCTGAGCAGAGGCGTAGCTTGAAGCTAGTGGGCCCCGATGCAAAAGTTGACCTAGGGCCCCCCCACTACTTTCTGCCATGCTCCAAGATGCTCCCACCATGCGCCAAGATATGATAGCTGTATGGTGGCTGTGTGTGGGGGCAGGTAGGCCACACTCTGAGCTTTCGGGTAAAAGCGGTAGGTTTGTATTTAAAATAGGAAACTCAGCAGGCCCTCTGACTTCCAGATCAACATACAAGCCCGCTGCTTTCACCCAGCAGCTAACAGTGTGGTCTGCCTGCCCCCACCTTGTGTGCACATGCAGGGCTGAGCAGGGGCGGGAGGGTTTTACTGTACTGGAATGGGTGGGGGGGCTAATCAGAGAGTGTGCCACTGCAGATATCACACCTTCTTTTTTTTAAACACCTTTCTTTTTTATGTTATTAACTGCCTCCCGCCCGCCATATAAGGAAATGACGGGCACAAAGCGGTTCTCTCGTTCTGGGAGGACAGCATATGACAGAGACAGCTCGGTGTCCATCCCCTCCTGGTTGTCAGTGCTGACACTTTCCCATTCCAGCAGGGCTGGCCTCACCCCGTCCTTCCTGTGCTACTCTCTGGCTCAGGACTTGAAAATGGAGCCAAAAGCTCAGAGTTGACAGGGAGACAGCACGGGCTCCCCTGGAGCATAAGCAGGGCACAATTGTGACCCCTGACAACCCTGATGCTACGTCCATGGCTGTGAGAGTTGATTGGAGGGAAGAGACAAACCCCCTCCACACAGCCTACAGGAACAGAGCTGAGGCTGTCAATCTGCTGGAGGTCCCTCCCCCTGTGCGGGAGGGAGCTGCATGTAAAAGAGAGAGAATGCATTAAGTTAAAAAACCTTTACAACCACTTTCAGTGGGTACCAGCCAAATTTCAATCAGTGTGTGGCAGTCCCTGTCTACTGTTCTTAAACCCCTGGTCATATCAAAATCCAATTTTGAAATCGTGCGACTTACAGTGAAGTCACACGATTTCAAAATTGGGTGACCTGCCAATTTCAGTTGCGATTTCCAAAACATCTGACACAGATGTCTATGCAAATCGCAACAAAAGTAGTGCATGCACTACTTTAGAAATCGGTATGGCTCCGACCAAGTCAGAACCGCACCGCAAATCGCATGCCAAGTTGCACCCGATATGACCGGGGTGTAAAATATTTTCCTGTAACTAGGTGGACATGCGTACCAGGAAAAAAAACAAAAAGAAAAGCAGATTATGAAGCAAGTGATAGAATCAAAACTGAGTATATCTATGAAGGTTTTTTTTTATCCTTGTCACATTGACCTGGACTTGTTCTGTTGAAGATGTATTGCTGCTCATCCAAGTAGCTTCCCAAGCTAAAATGAGTGTCTGGTACAGATTCTGTCATCTGTAGCCACAGGGGTAACTCAGTTAGCTTGATCCAATAACTATTTGATGAGTCAAGGCAGATGTTGGTGCTTCAAGATCATGAAGTTTGTGAAGCCACTCTAATTACATAATCTGGTCACCATGATGCCTTGCAGCCTAGGACAGGTGCTGCTTGGCCTCTTTAATTAACAAACAATTAGTGTAAGCTCTGCTATTCAGAATGAATACAAACAGCATACTGTATATAACTACAATTCAATAATTCAAATGCAAGTGTTTCCTCCTGCAAAGGATTGGTGTCCTCTTTAATGACTTGCTGAAGCATGTGTCCTCATCTGTCCACAGTGCACACCTTATTGTCTGCTTAATAATGCCCTTTTCTAAAGTATTACTAAACCCACAGCAGTAAAATCAGTCTGTATATGCAGTAAATCATGTTTGTTATACTGTACTCACTGTGGAACCTAAGGGGTTATTCCATTGTGTGACGATTGTGCGCAATAGAGGCATGGACGCTGTACATGACAGCCATCTAGTTAGGTCACAGCCATGTTGTATCTCCTGTCCTCCCTCCTCCCTTTTGAATGGAATGTGAGGCTGTAAGTGAACGGAGGTCAAAAGGGCCTTTTATCCTAAATAAAACACAGCTAGGTGAGCTCCATGGCTGTAAACCATTAATTAGTCTGGTTACAGGGGGTCTGCTTGAAAGCTACTTTCCTCTGCCCGATTGTAAAACAATAACTCAGTCAGTCATGACCTGTTAGGTCATTAGAGCTAGAGTGTGCCATAAAACGTACATTTCACATGAGTCATTTTTCATACAAATTCATAAACTTCAGCAGGAACTGGACACATTAATATGAAGTATATATTCGGATAGGTCATTTTAATATGAGTCACACGAGACCTTACATCACTATGTACAAGAGAGAAGAAAGAAATCTTTTTTATCCGGAGTTTGGAATATAATTGTAAATATTAATCTGCCAGTTGCTAGGATGCTACCTGTACCTATTGAAGGTTATTGACCTTAGTATGAAAT